AGCTGATCCCTCAAGGATAGCAGCAACATTGCTCTAACCTTAGTGTTCATACTTTAAACCCAGGATATAGACCATTGGTCTAATGCACATAGTGGTAGCCCACTCGAGTACTCATGGGGGCTGGCGTATCACATATACCCAGTTACACCCAGTTAAACATGACTAGTCATTTGAACGGACATCCTCTTCAGGACCGTTCTCGGGACGGATATCCTCTTCAGGACCGTCCTCGAAAGTGCCGTGTATTCAACATCCGGACACTCATTGGGTCATGCTACCCTTAACTGTTGCGACTAACAGTCCAAATTTGAGGAGCTCGTACCCAGCTTCCTCGAGGATATCCTCTTCAGGATCGTCCTTAAAAAGGCATTCTCTTCAGAATCGTCTATACAAAGGTATTCTCTTCAGGATCGCCTGCAAAAGAGCCGTGTACTTAACATCCGGCCATTATAAACGCTTTACAAATAAGTCATGAGCCGTGTACTTGACATCCGGCATTGAGAAAGGCCTCGATTTCCATGTTCATGAACAATGGGTGGATTATCCCTCGGAACTAAATACGTGTTTTACGCCTCAATGAGAACTAGACTTGCTCTATTGGATCGATCAACTATATCATCCAATACATCAGCATGAAAATGACTTTATTCTCGATGTTCTCGAATTCACTTTGTGCCTCGTTAATACAAGCCTATTCCTTCTGTAAGGTGGTTACCATCCACCTCCTTCTGATAGACGCCATTTTATTGCCTAAACCCTACCAGTATGGGGACTTCTTGATTAGGCACCTCCTCGAACTGAGCGGCAGGAATTACACCCTCATCTAAAGTCTCGGTCTGCCAAATGCCACCCCAAGACTTGGGGGCTCCGAGATGAGTAATGGCTCCGGGGTTATCTATAACCGAGAGCGTTTATATATGGGAGATCGTAAGGCGTTATATATGGGAGATTGTAAGGCGTCTGGAAGGTATGTAAGGTGTCTAAGGTATTTTGGAGGTGTTTGGGAGGTTGTGTTTTTTAATTTTTCGAGATGATCTTGGTCTACGGATCTCTTCCTATGACTTTTCTCGACAGTCTCTGATTAATGCTAGGACTGGGGCATTGTTTCTTCTCACACCAATGCGTAATACCTCCTCGATTTTTGATCGAGTCTCAAGCAATGACATTATACATCTATTCGGGTTCGGCATGTCAACCTGATTTATGTTTCTCAAACCCGAACTAAGGATTCTATGCTTTATTTCTCGAGACATGAGAAATGGCAAGTGGGTCGGCTGGGCGGATATAAATAAGCTTAAATTCTTGGATACCTTCTTCAAGGTCAGATAAATCGCAATTCTTGGGATTGGTGCGGAGTCCTACTCGAGAGAATCTTCTCGAATCTCACTATCCCAGCATTCATGTATCACACGGCATCTTTTATGGGGTCTTCTACTTTCTTCTGTCCCTCCTCGACAATCGAGGGTTCATATGGTGTCAGTCTCGACTCTCTATATGCTCTACTAAACTCGAGCTGGTCTTCTCGAGTCTTCGGATTATTCTGGGGCAAGTTCTCGACGTACTGACTAATTCCCAGATTGTTCTTTTAGACTTATGTCCTCGACATCGAGTATTCTGTCTTCATTCATTACGCTTCTCGATCCACTACCCTGTGGTTACTCTCGAGGGTTTGGATTTATTACCTCTCGTTCAAAAGCATATGTCACAGTTCTCTAGTCAACTCATCATCTCGACAATAAGTATATCTTAGCCGCTGCTAGTTACACACATATTGAGACTAGTGGGAATCTCCACTACGTTTTCTTCTCAATTCTCTCAACAGACGGGCCACTTGATTCAATAAGTCATTATGCGAGGCCTTCTCGACTAACGTCTGGGTCAATGACGTGAACTGCAATCTTCAAACAGAATTTTTGTTCTGGCAGTTGTGTCTTTGAAAGTTATTGATAACACATCTCTGTGTTCAGTGTAAAGGGAATCTCCATTACCCTTCTTTATTACCTTCTCGAGCAAGAGGGTATCTGCCTTAGTATCTCTCTGGGGCAGAATGTTAAGATCATCGCATATCAACTTCTCACTCGATAGTTTGAACTGATGACTCTTCTTTCTTCACAAATTGACATACACATCAATCGCCCTTTATGACACATAGATTCGACAAGGTATGTGCTAATGCATTCATTACTTTGATTTCTTCTCAATGCTAACCTTTCGCAGGTTCTCGACTAAAGTCAGTCTTTTCCGAACTTGGGAACAATTTATACTTCATATTATCAAGCCTATCCTATCTTCAGACTTCAAAGTATAGGCTTGATAAGGGGCACTTGACGAGTCCAAATTAGCACGGCCCGCGACTAGGCCGACCCAAGTTCGGTAAAAGGTCCAACCGGCCCATGAAAGCTTCTAGGGCGGTTGTCAATTACTTTCCTACTAGGAAAAGGTTCCATAATTTAGCTCTATAAATAGGGATCAATCCCTATGATCAAAGGTACGCTTTATGCACCCAATTTACACCCCTATTACAATTACTTTTACTGACTTAAGTATCGGAGAGTCTACCCTCGGGAGACCCCGAGGCTCTGTCTTGCAGGTTTAGGGTTTCATAGCAGCCATGGCCGCCGGTTCAATCCACTGGAGATATCGGAGCAAATCCATGCTTCGTCACAGAAATTGCGATTTACTTATGCTGTAGGTGGAATCTGGACTTAAATTAGGAGTGAAGACAGTTTGGTGACCTTAAGGGCTTCAAGACTTTGCCAGTTTAAGGATAAAAGAACCATCTTGTAATCAGTTCTGCATTCCTAAGTCCTTTTAGAAATGTTCTTTCCAAGCTTACCATATGAATGTAGTCAAAGCCCACGAACATGGAACAAATGAAAGAAATTCTCATAAATTACTCCATCACCATCAGTAACTCTGTAGTTGGTATTCACTACGGGGATGTTTTTCTTAAAAGGTGTCTTTGAATGACACTTTATAAAACAGCCAATTCCCTTTGCTTCATAATATTCCCAGGCCATGTTTTGAAGATGAATTAGTCAGAGTTCAACTTGAATTTCTAATTTGATGAAGTTGATGCGATTTTCCTTGTCTGTTACAAATTTGTTCCTCAGAAAAATGGGTTCCGGTTGCAACTCTGTCTGGAAATTGATTGAATTCTGTAAAGATGCGCCATGGTTGATTACCTTGTCGCATAACATTACTTGTTTGGTGTTTCGTCAAATCACTTGTCACATACCAGGATTTTTTGTCCAACAGACAACAGTTTCTGTGGATGCCTTGTCGGGTTTATAGATGTAGGTTAATACCCCTTTCAAATTGGTTCAAGATTTTATTTTTGTAGGATGCTTGAAAACTGTTCTTACACGTTCAGGTTTAGTAGCATGTTGGTGGTGTTCGCTTGCTGATGTTTTGCTTAGATCTCATCTTATGTAGTTGAAACTGATGCAACTGATACCCTAGATAAATATTTTGCCACTGTATTCAAGATTATTTATAGAACCCTTAGAGTGTCACCCTGCCTATCAAACTTGTGAATCAATAGTTCATCGCTGCCGTAGGATTCACAAGAGTTTACAGTAGATGCCCATTAAATCTCTGTTCTGACTTCCAATCATGAAAATATGCAGGAGAGAAAGGATTATTTGCATTTGCGCCCCACTCACCAGGGCATTGATGGAGAGTGGAGTGATAAATCTGGTGTAATAATTTACAGATGGAATCAGAAGGATAATAGGCCAAATACAGTTATATCAAACTGGAAGAAGCGCTGGAGCTGTTGTGCTGAGTATGATAAAAACGCATCACCTTGTCAGCAGGGATGGCATGTCTCCTATGTCGATGGCTTCACTTTGTACTAATGTATCTTGCCTCATTTATGTAGCCCTTTGTTGTTATGCCCCGTTATGCTCGTAAGCCATAGTACCTGACCTGTGTAAATGTTATTGTGTATGATTGCTGCCTTTATTGTGTTATTAATTGCCTCGCAGACGTTCAATGTAGCATTATTTGCAGTTAAATACCTAAAATTACTTTTGCTGTTTGATAAACTAAATTTTCCGACTACGCATGCACTTCCGTTGACGAACCTGTGCAGTTTCCGGAATTGTTGTACTCTAAATTTCCTTGTCTGTGAAGTAAATGTTTTTCTCTTACATTGTGTATAGATGATAATTATATACACCAAGCTTAATCTAGTGATTAGATTGACAAATAACAAAGCTCTTAGCTAGAGCTTGGGAGCTTGATAGTAAAATTTAGGTAGTTTCAATTTCGGTTGATCTATAATAAAATTAGATATAAATTACTTGGAGAAATATTAATCCGGTAATTAGATTGACAAATAACAGAGCTCTTAGCTAGAGCTTAGGAGCTTGATAGTAAAATTTAAGTAGTTTCAATTTCGGTTGATCTATAATAAAAGTAGATACAAATTACTTGGAAGAAATATTTCTCCGGTTATAAACTTAAATTTGAACTAGTTATAAGACCCGAGGAGTACATACTTGTGCATTCACCCATTCTAGCTGAAAATAAAGGGAGATTTCCAAGCTACATCCTCGGCCAGGCTTATACTATGCAGGGAAAAAATGGTCTAAAAATAAAGTTAATTGTTGTGGGTTATGAAAAATGGTTTTCACACTATTCTGCATTTTTTTTTTCCCAACTACGATCTGTATCAATCAGCGTTCAATTGGCTTAAAATCTCACTGCTACAGAGCTTAACATTTACTCTAGCCAAACAACTGCTATACTCATACAACATAAGTCTCACTCTAGCGTCATTGCTTGGATGACCTCTGTCTTAGTCACAAAAGTAAGACTATATAACTGTTACCTCTACAAATTTCGTACATAGGTGCTCTGATCAAATTAGGAAACAAAAGTAATTAATTAGAGCTATAAAAAACGTAGTAAATATTAGCAACTCCTTCAAGAACAAAGAACAGTGTACTCTTCGCCCTTATACAATAGCATTAGGCCACAGATGACAGATGTCATCACAGTGGCATCTTTATAAGTTTATCCATGATGCAACAAGAAAGTTGGCAAGTACGACCTTTTGCTTGCTCCTCCTTGCATTTGGATTCAAGCACACTTTTCTTCTCACAAAGAACCACCTTTCGACTATCATACTTAAAAACATGGTCACACTCAGCTTGAAACGTCTCGATTTTGCTAGAATCATTGACCAAAGACGCTTGGAAGGTAATAAAATACAATGTATTGGCCGGATGATAATTGTGAGCAGCGGCACGTTCAATCTTATCAAACTTGTATCTTGGTCCCTACATACAGACCTCACGTATTAGCAACAAAAGGAAAAGAAAAATATCAAAGTTAACAAAAATATATCTGCGGCTTCCAATATATCTCGTGGTAACAAAAATGTATTGTTCTGGGGTATATCAAGGTTTAGCCTTTGATTTATAATTCACCGACCAATTTTTCCTAATTCACATCTTTGGTGTGTTATATAGCTATTGTTATAAAATAAAATAAAAAAAAGAAAAAGCATTTTCAATCACAAGCAAACAAACAAATCCAGAAAAAGTACGGACTGCCAATCAAACCAGTATCAATGTTACACTCAGAGACTACAACGGAGGGTATGTTGTTATAATTATATAAAGTACATGATTTCAGCTAGTGTTTTCGCCTTACTAAAAACAAATTTTGGAAAAAAAAAAACAAGAGGGGGAGAATATGGAGTACACTAACTTTCAAGGTAAAAGCAATGGGATTTTTGAAATAATTCAAAAAATTCAATGAGTTTGAGCTCGCGCAAGTCAGGGTACCCAGAATATGGAGTACCCAGCAAGGAATTTTTTTGGTTCTTATTTATAATACAGGTGGCCGTCAAAGATGCACACAACAACAACAACAACAACAACAACAACAACAACATACCCAGTACATTCACCCAGTATATTCCCAACTAAGTTAGGGTCTAGGGGGTTGTACGCAGCCTTACCCTTGTAAGTATACAAAGAGGCTGTTTCCGTCAAAGATGCATATGAAAAGCAAATTTCATGTAATACGCCGAATAGAAATTAGGTTCCCAATCTGGATATCGGTGGCTGAGAGAGCAAGGGCAACAGTTCAAAGAAACTAAAGTCATTTGGGGGTGCTATAACAGCTTACGGAAGGGTAGACTTACTTCACTTGGGAGATTAAAGAGATTGATATATCCCTGTAAATAAGACATTTTGTGTTCTATGTGAAGACGAGGAGGAAACATGAAGGCAATTGTTCATCCAATATAAGTTCTCAAATATTCAACTGGAAAAGGTTACTAGCTTATGGGGCATTGAAAAGGTTAGCAAGGGATACTAGTCCGTGAAAGAGGATAATTTCATTTCTATGGAGAAAAAAGCACAATTTTGCATCAAAAAGTTTAGCAGCAAATATATCATATCTGGTGGTAGAGAACTATAATCTTCAAAGGAAAATTCAAACCTCTGGAGCTTATTGAAGGATCAAGCAGCAACTTGCATGGAGGTTTAAATTGTGTTATAGGAAAGTGAAAGAGCGTTAAGCAAAAAAACTGTTTTGGCTATTGGTATCACACCCTAATCAGTAGTTTCTATAAATAAACAGTAGCCAAGTATATACTTTGTGCTTGATAAGGTTTCCAGGTAATGATTCACTGTACACTAATTCTTTCTAGTTCAACCTTTTCAAACATTTTAGTGAAATTTTCAATATTATACATTTCGTAAGAATCTTTGTACACGTCTAATATTGACATCAACAACTATCAGCTCACTTCACATCTAATTATCTGAATATAAATTTCACGAAATAAATGCAACCCCGAGCAGCAAACCTCATACATATATTTAAAAATGTAGCACATTTAGGTACCAGCAGCAAACCTCATACATATATTTAAAAATGTAGCACATTTAGGTACCTGGTAATTGCGCTTGTTGTATAGTGCAATGCTTTCCTCACAGGTCCAGATCATTAACTCAGTTCGCCAGGACGGTATCTTTGGCAGCTTATACTTGGTGCAGCAAGGGAGTGGGCAAGGAATACCTTTTCCTCGTTCCTCGTTCCATTGGGATTCAAGCACACTTTTCCTCTCGCAAAGTAGAAATGTTGTCCTATCACCTCTGTAATTATATTCACACTCGGCTTGGAAGGTCTTGCTTTTGGGGTCATCAACTCGAGAAGCTTGGAAGGTGATATAGAACAGATAACGGCGAGGAGGACAACAACGATGAGTGACATACTCAATCTTTTCAAACTTGTAGGGAGATTGTTCCTGCAGGCAGACATCAAAATCAATAACAAAAAAAATTAGCAAAACAAATCCAAACTAGAGCAGTAATGCAAATAAAATCAGTCCGCTATCTACAAAGAAGAACCCATCCCCCTTCCCCTAAACAAGCATTTATAATAAGCATATAAAAGTAAGTTACTATAACTACCTGAACATTTTTGTTGTTGTTGTTGTTGTATAGTTTGATGCATTCCTGAGCAAAGTTGCGGAATCTGGCTTGGTTAAAACGGCAGTCCGCATCCCTTTTGTTTTTGGGATCCCAATTCAAACGCACCGGGAGGATGGTTTCACCCAAGCCTCGACCCGGATCAATGGTCACCATATAACCCTATACTATAAATCCCCATTGAATCAATCATACAAACAAAAAAGCACATAAGAACAATGAATATATATAATCATTAGAATAATTATGAGAAGAAATTGATTTTAAAATCCTTCCAACTAACCCTAGTGTCATGGATCTCCTTTCTGTACTGCGTCATCACCTCGTACTGGTTCTCCATACCAGGAGGGATAAGGATCCCAGATCTGGCATTATGCTTTCGAAAATATTCAGAACAAATTCTCGAATGTTCAACAGCGGTAATTCTGACTCTTTCATATCTAGCTCTCTCATGCTTCGCAATCACCTCCTCCTCCGAGGGGGAGGACCAACATCCGATTGTTTCATCAGTTGAATGCCAGGATCCCAATGTTTCACCAGTTAATTGAAGATCCTTCTCCTCAATATAATCAGAATCCAACATAACTTTGGGTGGTCCGTCCGTCATTACGACTTCGTATCCCTCCGGCTCGATCCCTTCGTCCTCCACACAGAGCAGAGACACTCCGATCGATGAAGACCTCCCAGTCGTCAGGCTAGATGTGGTGTCGGTCAGACAAGATGATGCAGAGGAATATTTCCCCGATTCATTGAGTTGCGATGCTTTTGTAACTGGTTGTGGTTGCTCGCCATCGTCGGAATGGATCGATCTCTTCCCTCCTACTCCTCCCCACGCCGCCTCTATTCTCTTCCTCCTCGCTTCCCGAACCTTATCTCTAGCAGTTTGGATTCGGCACGACATCGTGTGCATGACAATGGTGATGCAGGGGCTGTTCCGCAGCTTTTAATACTAGTATATTTTACGCCTTAATTGGGCCATAGGTGGAATAGGCCCATCAAAATGGGTGGTTTTACCTAAAACTTTGAGATCGCTCTCAATGTTACTTAAAAGTTTCTCTATTAGCCAATTTAATTCCGACTATTTGAAAAATTTCACCCAGCCTAAAGTATTTTTATTAACCATAACCAAAGGGGTTGTGGTGGAGTAGTAAGGACTCCTCTCCCTTAACCATAGGTCGAGAATTCGAATCTTGCCATGGGCATTGAGCTACATTTAAACCTTTAGCCAGCTCTCTCACTCATCAAGGTGTCTACCATGGACCTTTGGTCAGCTCTCCCACCCATCGAGGTGCCTACCATAGAACAACCTTTAATCCTTTGGCCAGCTCTCCCACCCATCGAGTTGTCTACCATGAGCGAGAGGGATTAGTCATTGTTGCCGACGGTCGATACCCTGCAATATGAAAAAAAAAAAAAAAGTATTTTTATTAGTAGTTTTACTACTGTTGTACCGGTTCGATCTGAATTTTTGAAATATTTCCTCGATGTTAGTAATTAAAAAAAAATTGATATTACCGTAAACGACAGTAAAAGTATTGTTTATTTATTCTTATATAATATCTCTGTAATGAAAATTCGATTGTTGCATAAAACAAGCAACATGGAAAGAAATTAGCTTAATTTTACTTTTATTGACATATGAAAGAAAATAAATTTTATCTTCATTTTTATCTTTAACATCATGTCACCATCCGAGCCATTGGTAGGTGAGAAACCTACAATATTTTTTATTGTTGTTAATTAGAAAATACATTTTTGACATACCAAAAATATCATGTGTAAAAATAATGAGCAAAGTTTTTATGTAACCATTGTTGGAAATAGACAAAATTTTAATGGCTCAATTTCTTGGACACCAGTTTAACTAACGTATGGTCTCATAACTCGCTTTGTCCATAAACCATCAATTATGTTTGAAATAGGCAAATTTATTCGTACTGCATGAGAAATCACTTTTTATTTTAGAAGTTTGGAATTAGAGTTATATTTTATCGTTTTGCAAAAAATAAAAACTACAATATGTAAATCCTTTTCACTGCTATCTCTTAATGTCATATATATCTTTTTTTAATAGATTCCTCCAAAATCTAACTACGTTAATATATAAGATTCTGTGTACCACTACGTACTATATAGTAGAGAGAAGGTGAGATAGATTATATAAATCAGAACTCCAACCGAGATATTAAAACACCAACTTTGATGTTCTGGTGTCAAGTTTAAACAATGAAAATATTAAATTAGTATACTATTTTAATATAAAACTGTTACCCTAGAATTTGGTATAAATTGTTCACTACACTATCTTTGGTTATCTTTTTAATTTAATTCAAATACTTTGCAATCAAATTTACAAAATGAATCATGTTGTGAAGATTATCATATTAAATGTCTTCTTGAAATGTTCAAAATAAAACCAATATAGAATATTAAATTTATTTTTTTAAATAATTTATTTTTAATCTTTATTAAAACTGAATATGCCACAAAATTAGGAAAACTTTATACTTCTACAATCGAATAAGAAAAATTAAGAAAAGAACTGCACTAAGTTATCACCAAACTACAAAATATAACTAACCATCAAATTAAAATTTAAAGTAATTTTATATTTAGACCTTTCGGTAAATTTTGATGTAAAAAAGAATACCTGGAATATTCTAATTTTTGCACTAAATCTAGTAAAAATTATGAATTTCCAAAAAGGATTTAAGATGTTCTCAGGTGTTTTCGAGTAGTGACAATTTTATGCAAACAGAAAGAAAAGAAATGGAAGAGGAAGAACCATAATGTTCCAGAGCAAATCAGAAGCATAAGCAGAAGGTGGTAAAACCATGAACATCTTTTTCTTACAAAAGGTGGGTTCTTGCTTCTTAATTTTCATGATTTTTTTCTTTTTACTTCTGGAAATTAGGGCCATGCAAAAAAACCGCAATTTCGGTTTGAACCGCCGATCCAACCCGATTCGAACTGCGATTTCCAGTTTTGTTTCGGAACTGTTAATTTATGCTGCGGTTCGGATCAGTTCGGGTTTTATTTCCATCGGATAACCATCATTTCGTCGGTTTGAGACTTTCATTTTGGCCTTCACTTTAGTAGAAATTCAAATCCATTTTCTTCATCTTCACACTTCACTTTCCGTCCCCGATCAAGAACGATCCATCACAATTTAATCGAAAAGAAACTAACCAAAAAATTAACTTGCATAACCCAAACATGGAAGACAAAGAAATTAACCGAAAAGAAAATCAACTTGCATAAGAGAAATTAAAAGAGGAAAAAGAGATATCACAAGTGAAAATGAGCAAAATAAATCGGAGTGCACTCGCATGATGCAAAAACGGCCTTGCTGCATTTCATTTAATTTTCTCATTTATCATCCCCATCAGCTACTTAGTTTTCTTCATCTGTTGCTTCTCATCTTCTAGAAGTTCTGATGGGCATAATAGTTGGTCCAACCCACTTAACCAGTTAACAATGTGGGCCGATTAATTTAGGCAGGCCACAAGGCCCTTGTAATGGGCCTTGTGTTACTATTACTAATATTATTATTTCTGATTAGGGTCTTAAAATAACAAAATACACATTCAGACCCTACTCTAGTGTGGGACCCAAATGAACAGTACCCATAAGTGAATACTATAAATATCCCAAGACATTTACTCTGGGGAAGATTTTTTGATCACTTTCTCTCTCTATAAAGTGTTATTCATCAGACTTTCTCTCACTATATTGACTTGCTCTTCGGAGTGCTAACCTCTGTCTTACAAGTCTCCGTCCTTCGGACCGTTGACTCCATGCCATCGGGTTTGACCTCCATCAAGTGGCACCGACTATGGGGACATTCTAACTTGATTGAGGACGAACCCAAGCGCTCTACGAGAGTTATGGTCTCAACTAGGGCGAGACCTGAGGAGGGCACTAGCCGAAGGCCTGGCCCCCGTTTGCACATCGCCCGTGAGTCAGCGCGTCCATCGGCTGGCGAGTCCAATCGTCGAGACAAGGACGAGGGGGAGGATCAGACTTCCAGAACGCCGGACCATCATAGCAGATCTCGGTGCCGAAGTGATAGACGCAAAGATCGTCAATCCAGTAAGCGAGACCGTAACCAGTCTCATCATCGAAGCAAGGAGAAGAAAGGTCGGGGTTGCTCCAACAAATCCTCCACCTCCCCTGACTCGGGCACTCGAAGAGACGAATCGCATGATGAAGGACTGGTATCCTTTGCCAGCCATCGAACAGAAGGTTGACGCGATATCTGGTGATCCCGTGCTGAGCTTCCTGGATGCGTACAAAGGTACCACCAGATTCTAATGGAGAAGGAGGATGCGGAGAAGACAACATTCATCACCGATAAAGGGAGCTTTTGTTACATCAAGATTCCCTTCGGTTTAAAGAACACCAGGGCAACATACCAAAGGGTCGCCAACAAGATTTTTGAGCCTCAGCTAGGGCGTAACATGGAAATCTATGTAGACGACATGGTTGTAAGGAGTGCGTGCCTCAGGTCGGTGGCCGATGACCTCAAAGAAACTTTCGAAACGCTTCGAAGGGTGAACATGTAGTTGAATCCCAAAAAATGCCTTTTCTTCGTTGGATAGGGAAAGTTCTTGGGATTTCATATATCTAGAAGCGGCATAGATGTCGACCCAAACAAAGTTCGGGCTATTCAGGAGATGGTTGAACCAAAGTCTGAAAGAGAGGTCCAAAAACTGAATGGATGCATAGCTGCCTTGAGTCGTTTTCTTTTAAAGGCTACCAAACATAGCCTCCTGTTCTTCAAAGTCCTCAAAAAATCTTCCAAGTTTGAATGAAACGAAGAATACAGGCAAGCCTTCCAGGACTTGAAGGAGCATTTGAAAGTGTTACCAACATTGGCAAAACCATGTTCGGGGGAGACGTTGGAGTTGTACTTGGCAGCTGGTGAGAACACGGTTAGTGCAATGTTGGTGCGTGATTTGAAAGATAAGCAAATGCCGATCTACTATGTTAGTCGGGTGTTACAAAGCACCGAATCTCGTTATTCGCCAATGGACAAATTGGTTCTGAGTCTCGTTACAGCGCCCGGAAGCTCCATCCATACTTTTAGGCACATACAATCAAAGTCCTCACGGACCAGCCTATACAACAAGTCCTCAGAAAATTCGAAGTTTCGGCAAGAATGACGAAGTAGGCCATTGAATTGGGAGAACATGAGATCCAGTTCCAACCCAGAACGGCCATCAAGGGTCAGGCCCTTGCCGACTTCCTGGTTGAAATGCCGGTGACCGAAGAACCAGAGAAGGTTGAGGAAGGAGATCGCCCGGAAATGGGATCTTCGCCGAATAAACAAGGAGGAAAATGGATCCTTCATGTAGATGGATCGTCATCAGAAGATGGATCGGGCCCGGGAATCGTCCTGGCCGACCCTCAAGGCTCTGAGATCACATGTGCTCTTCGGCTCGAGTTTTCGACGACCAATAATGAAGCAGACTATGAGGCTCTTATCGCTGGTTTAACGGTGGCTCTTAAGGTCGGGGCTCGATCCTTGACTGTTTTCAGCGATTCTTTGGTTGTCGTCAATCATGTGCTACGTCTCTATGAGGCTCGGGAAGTATTGTTGCACAGATACTTGGCAAAGGTCCGACAGCTGATGAAAGGATTCGATGATGTGGAAATCGAATACATTCCGAGATCAAAGAATAAGCGAGCCGACGCCCTCAGCAAACTGGTCTCTACGGTGCATGCCCATCTCACTCGAAGGGTCCTGGTCGAAGTCCTTGCCCTGCCAAGCATCGATCTCCAAGAGGTTCAGCCAGTAGTGGAAGGTGAAGAATCCTGGATGATTCCTTTTGTCCGATTCCGCACGGATGGCACACTTCCCAATGACCCCCGTGAAGCTAGGAAGATTCGGTTGAAGGC